TACCCATAATCCAATCTTCACAACTTTGATTTTATTTAGTTTATATCTCAAGGTCTTAATCGTTTATTTTTTTCTAAAAAATTTTAGTGTTTAAATTCAATTTATTTTTTGGTTAATTTTGAATTTAATGTTAATCTTAAGTTTTTTCAAGTTTCAATTTAAGTTTTTTTTTCTTGTAATTATTTGGGAAGAAAAAAACAAAAAAAATAAAAAAAATAAAAAAAGAATTTCTCTCTAAGATTTCACCTTTTCCAATTTTGGCTTAATTAAAATTACAACGAAGATAAGAAGGAAAGTGGTGGTTTTGTTTTCAATGTATAACTGTCAAATGCTATGCTGATGAGATCCATTTGGACCTCCTCAAGATATTCCGTGTATTTTGGTGTATTTGTGTTTCTATTTCTTGGTGTGTGTATGTTTTTCTCTCTCTGTGTGTTTTTTCTTGAGCCAGAAGAAGACCCCTTCTCTCCTCCCTTTCCTTCCCTTATCCCCTGCCTTGTCTTGAGTGGCGTGCCCAAAAATCTTGATGGAGAATGGGCTGTCATATTATAATTGGGCCGGGGTTGTTTTCTTGGAAGTTTGGGGTTTGATTTTGGGCCTAGGACAAATTTGTCCGGATCATCTACTCCCCCCAGTTCGTCATGAGGAGTGCGGAGTAACTAGTCGTGGCGAACTACTCTCTCGAGATGCTTTAACGAGGTGAAGAAATCGAACCAATCTACTCCCCCCAATTCGTCGGAAGAGACGCGAAGTAACTAGTCACCTCGAGTTTGGTTTTTCTCTTTTTTTTTTTTCTTTTCACTATGTATTTTACGACGTACCCTTCTTTTTCGGATGCGAGATACCTCATCTTACTATGGATGCGAGATACCTCGTCACACTCAGGATGCGAGATACCTCGTCTTACTTCGGATGGGAGATACCTCGTACGTCTTTACTTTGAATGCGAGATACCTCGTCGCACTCAGGATGCGAGATACCTCTTCTTACTCAGGATGCGAGGTACCTCGTCACACTCAGGATGCGAGATACCTGGACTTACTCAGGATGCGAGATACCTCGTCTTACTTCGGATGCGAGATACCTCGTCTTTACTTTGGATGCGAGATACCTCGTCACACTCAGGATGCGAGATACCTCGTCTTTACTTCGGATGCGAGATACCTCGTCACACTCAGGATGCGAGATACCTCGTCTTACTTCGCTTTTGGATGCGAGATACCTCGTCTTACTCCTCTTTTGAAAGCGAGATACCTCGTCTTAGTTTTCTTTGGGATGCGAGATACCTCGTCTTACTCCTCTTTGAATGCGAGATACCTCGTCCC